GTGCATTCTGAACACCTGGATGGGTGGGATAGGGAAGGTGGGAGGGAGGGAGATGCAAGAGGGAGGAGATATGGGAACATATGTATATGTATAACTGATTCACTTTGTTATGAAGCAGAAACTAAGACAGCATTGTAAAGCGATTATACTCTAATAAAGATGTAAAAAAAAAAAAAGAATACTCCCTAACACCATACACAAAAATAAACTCAAAATGCATTAGAGACATAAATGTAAGACCAGACACTCTGAAACTCTTAGAGGAAAACTTAGGAAGAACACTCTGACATAAATCACAGCAAGATCTTTTTTGATCTATATCCTAGAGTAATGGAAATGAAAAGAAAAATGAACAAGTGGGAGCTATAGAAACTTAAAGGCTTTTGCACAGCAAAGGAAAGTACAAACAAGATGAAAAGACAGCCCTCAGAATGGGATAAATATTTTCAAATGAATCAATGGACAAAGGATTAATCTCTAAAATATATAAACATCTCATGCAGCTCAATATTAATAAAACAAACAACCCAATCGAAAAATGGGCAGAAGACCTAAATAGACATTTCTCCAAAGAAGATGCATAGTTGGCCAAGATGCACATGAAAAGCTGCTCAAAATCACTAATTATTATAGTAATGCAAATCAAAACTACACTGAGGTATCACCTCACACCAATTAGAATGGGCATCATTAGAAAATCTACAAACATTAAATTCTGGAGAGGGTGTGGAGAAAAGGGAACCCCCCTTGCACTGTTGGTTAGAATGTAAATTGATACAGCCACTATGGAGAACTCTATGGAGGTTCCTTAATATAACTAAAAGTAGAATTATTATATGACCCAGCAATCCCACTACTGGGCGTATACCCAGAGAAAACCATAATTCAAAAATACGCCCATACTCCAATGTTCATTGCAGCACTATTTACAATAGCCAGGACACGGAAGCAACCTAAATGCACATTGACAGATGAATGGATAAAGAAGATATGGTACATATATACAATGGAATATTACTCATCCAGAAAAAGGAACAAAATTGAGTCATTTGTAGAGATGTGGATGGATCTAGTGACTGTCATACAGAGTGAAGTGTCAGAAAGAGAAAAACAAATATTGTATATTAACACATATATGTGGAACCTAGAAAAATGGTACAGATCAACCAGTTTGCAGGGCAGAAATTGAGACACAGATGTAGAGGACAACTGTATAGACATCAAGGGGGGACGTGGCGGGGGTGGGTGGTGGTTGTAGTGTGATGAATTGGGAGATTGGGATTGACATATATACACTAATATGTATGAAATGGATAACTAATAAGAACCTGCTATATAAAAAAATAAAATAAAATTCAAAAATAAATAAATAACTAAATAAATATAAAAAAAAAAGAAAAATAGTGGTGAGAGAAGACATCCTCATGTTAAATGAAAAGCTTTCAGCTTTTCAACATTAGATATGATGTTAGATGTGGGCTTGTCATACATGGTCTTTTTTATAGTGCCGTATGTTCCTTCTATACTCAGGTTCTTGAGATTTTTTTTATCATGAAATGATGTGAATTATGTCAAAAGCTTTTTCTGCCTCTATTGAGATGATCATATGATTTTTATTCTTTTTGTAATGTGGTGCCATCACATTGGTCAATTCGCTGATATCAAACCATCCTTGTATCTCTGGGCAAATCCCTCTTGATCTTGATATGATCTTCGTTCCATCCTTTTAATGTACTGTTTAATTTGGTTTGTTAATATTTTGTAGAGGATTTTTGCATCTATTTTCAACAATCAGTCTGAAATTTACTTTTTTTGTAGTGTCATTGTCTGGCTTTTGTATCAGTGTAATGTTGGCCTTGAAAGTAAATTTGGAAGTGTTCTCTCTGCTTCTATTTATTGGAATAATTTTAAAAGTTTTGGTAATTATTCTTGTTTAAAGGTTTGGTAGAAATTATCCATGAAGCCATATGGTCCTGGACTTTTTTGTGGGGGAGTGATTTGGTTACTGATTCAAACTACTCTCTTGTTATTGGTTAGTTCAGATTTTCCTTTTAATTATAATTCATGCTTGATATGTTTTATGTTTCTAGGTATTTATTCATTTCTTCTAGGGTATATAATTTGTGAGTATTATTGTTCATAGTAGTTTCTTATGATCTTTAGTATTTCTGTGGTATTAGTTGCAATTGATCTTTTTACCTTTATGATTTTTAAAAGTTTTCTTTTTCCTTTGTCTAGTTAAAGATTTGTCAATTTTGTTTATCTTTTAAAACTACCTTCATTGATATTTTCTGTTGTCTTTTTAGTCTCTATTTCATTTATCTCCACTTTGATCTTTGTTATTTCCTTCCTTCACCTAAATTTGAGCTTAGTTTTTTCTCATTTTTCTAGTTCCTTGAGGTATAAAGTTCTTTATTTGATTTCTCTATTTTTATTTAATGTTGGCATCTATTTCTATAAACTTCCCTTTTAGAACTGCTTTAGGTGTATTCCATACGTTCTGGTATGGTATGTTTCCATTTCCAATTGCATTTGTCTCAAGGTACTTTTTTATTTCACTCTTGATTTCTTTTGACCCAATGGTTGTCAGGAGCCTTTGGCTAATCTCCACATATTTGTAGTTTCTCCAGTTTTTTTCTTGTAATTAATTTCTAGTTTCACACCACTGTGGTCATGTGGATGCATGCCCCATTGGCTTTTGGACCTAGGTGTTTTTGAGGGGCTCTCTCTTGAGTGGCAGCCTTAAAAACTGAGGTGCTAAACATGTGGTCCAAGTCCTTTGCTCTTCATGTAGAAGCTGAGGGTTGGGGATTCCCTTCCGATTGTATGGCACTATGCTGGGAGTAGTGTTTATGGAAAGAGTGTGCCTCACCCTTTCCAACCCATTTCTGTGTGGGTGTTTTCTCAGCTGCCTGATGTGTAGGAGTCATTCAGCTAGTTTCTGGATTTTTCTCAGAGGAATTGCTCTGTATGTGTGTCTGTGGAAGGAAGGGAGTTTAGGAGCTTCCCTTGTCTCCATCGTAATCCCTCCAACTAAATCAGTCTTTTCTACTTCATATGTTGTTACTTAGTCATTATATAGATAACGTGAATGTGATGCCATCTACTAGGGCTGTTTAATACAGGCTGTTATACCCATTAGGATATTATAACTATTAATTCTTTTAATTTTGTATTGGTTTGTCAATGTCAGCAATTCCGTTCTGGCATGATAATCTGTAACATATTGTCTTTTTTTTTTCCTTCTGAATTCCATTGTTTGGAAAGAATAGATGGTATTAAAACCTTCTATTTGCTAGAGTCTCCTTGTATAATGTCATTGTGACATTATAAGTCACATCAATAAATGTCTCTCTTTTTCTCTTATGGTGATTAATATCAGGATATATTTGCTTTAAGATTTATAGTTTTATAAAATATATTGAAACATCCAGACTACAGGCCTACTAAAAGCAATGGAAAAAACAAGTAAAAATTTCTCAGTATTTTCATGATAATATTAAGTAACAAAATTATACTTTATTCAAGAAACACAATACAATAAAACTTTAGAGTTTACTGCTGTATTTTAATATCTCAACTCCATAGTGAAACCTAGTTCACTAAAGACTTAAAATTCCTGTCTCAAAGTGTGATGGCCCACTTGCCACATGAAAAGAGTGGATGGATATGAATCTGTTTTGCAGCATTTTGTTCTTTCCCTGCTTTGAGTGCAAGATTCTCACCAAAGAAATATGTGGTGGGAAAAGAGGAAAAGGAGAACACATTCTTAACTTCTCTAGGATAAACCACTTTTGAGATCAAGCCCTTAGGGAAGATATGATACTGCCCTTTTTACCAGGGTACTCTGATAAATCAAGGAGAATGGCCCTCTGCATGGTCGGTTTTCCCCCACACTTGCAAAGTTAACAAGAAATACTTGAGCCTTGCCAAGAAATCTAAAAGGACTTGACTTATACCTTTAAGAATTTTATACTAATGCCTGTATGTTGTACAATAAACATCTATATATATGTGAAAAGTTGACACTATTAAAATAATTTGGATTACTCCCAACAAAAGACTTTCTTAAATAGCCATTTCAAACTTGTTTTTCATAAAATTAAAAAACATGGGTCATCAGTTTTAATCATTCTTGTAATACACCTAAGTATTGACAATCTTCATCCATAGAGTAGCACATTTATCATTCACACAGACAAAAGGCCATTATCTAATTTGACAAGTAATATCATAGTAAAACAAACATTGTAATTAGCTTTAAAGGTCACTATGGCAGATATCAAGCTTATCTGCACCAAAATATATTGAATTAGAAATATGATCACTGTGATTAATGAAATACAATTGTTTTTAAGGAAAGACAAGAAAATTTTAACAAAATTTTTCCACCATTTGAGCTACCACCTCCTCCCCTTTAGTGTGCAGTGTGCATCTGCATTATACATTAATATATTACCTAGATTCTCTTAGAAGACCCAGGAATGCCTACTCACAAAAAAAAAAAAAAAGAAAGAAAGAAAAAGAAGCAATTTCCTACTGGCACCAGCAAGGTAACTCCTTAGGAGATTAGGAGATAACATTCCTTTCTCAATCCTGTAAGGGGTCACAATGACCCACTATTGCCTTGTTGGACTCTGTAAACTGTCAATATGTTACTTTGATTCATAACCCTTTATCTCAAAAACTTATGTTTTGACCTCTAAGTTGTGCAGAAAATCTCGTTGCTTTGACCTCTAATGGGCAGAACAGTCCTCAGAGCTTTCTGAAAGACTAACTAGCGGGTTATAATCCTCAGGTAGGCCTAAATAAAATTTTCCATTTCTTTCTTAGATTGACCATTAATTTTTTTGTGGACACATAAGAGTACTATCCTATGTGTTATAAAAAGCTTAGTAAGTAATATAGTTTAATAATAGAGCACTATTTCAAGGCACAGTTAACATAATCTTGAATGTCTGAGCAATTCTTATGAAAAATGGAAAATAAAGAGTTCTTACCAAGTTTGCAATGATATAATGGTAGCCTTTAACATGCTTTCCAACACTCACAATCTGTGAAGATATAAGGAAATATGAGAAAACCAATTTAACTTTACTGAATGATCATATTTTTAAAAACAGAATTTTAACTATTCTAGCATAATGCCATGTGGAAACATGTTGAGAAAATGGTATCGTTTTTCTTATGGAAGTGATTTATCCTAATTATAAGAAATTCATAAGCCACACTAAAAATTAAGTGGTTGAAGTAAAAAAAAAAAAAAACCCTGTAATTTCAATCCCACTGTATAAATGACCAATCATTTCATTATATCTTGTTCAGAAAACTACTATGCTATAATCCCCTCAAAGAGAATGATAATGTTATGAGACAAACCAATAGTTTACATATATTTCTAAAAAAGAATACTTTAACATAAGAAAGAAAATTATTTTGGTTCAAAGAATTTAGATGTACTTAATTTATTGATGATTTATAAGAATTCATGATAGACTGTTAGGTGCCTCAACTGGTGAGAATCATTTTCTATGAGTAGATTGGATCATTGTCCTGAAAAGCAGGTAAGATTTTTCTAGGCAAAATCTCTGTTTTTAGATACCTCTGATACCACAGAATACTTAGGTAATTCTCACTTTCCTATGGATATAGCAACATTTTATTATGATAAAAAGAATAAGGACAAAACAATATCAAGAGACTTTTCCTTCTGCTACATTAATTTTTTTCTATGAATGTATTTTAGGAATGTTTAGAAAATTAGAAACTAAGAAAGTTTAGAAAAAAGTAATCAGATATTTTAAAAAGTACAACTTTATTTCCGTACTATAAATTAAAATTCTTATTTTGTGAAACTGAAAATTTCTTTAATTAGAGAAACTCTAATGACAGTTACTAATGAGCAGCTTTGTAGCCTCATTGGTGTCCTCAAATGTAACAACACAATATAAGATTTACATATACTTTTATTATTATTATTATTTTTTTGCAGTACGCAGGTCTCTCACTGTTGTGGCCTCTCCTGTTGCGGAGCACAGGCTCCGGACACGCAGGTTCAGTGGCCATGGATCACGGGCCCAGCCGCTCCGCGGCATGTGGGATCTTCCCAGACGGGGGCACGAACCTGTGTCTCCTGTATCGGCAGGCGGACTCTCAACCACTGCGCCATCAGGGAAGCCCTACATATACTTTTTTCATTCAAGAAAAAATTGAATTATTTTTGGTATTTTAATATCTTCTAAAATAATTCTTTGTAAATTAGTGACTTGTGTATGAAACACAGGAAAACCATTTTATTTTATTATTATTTTTTTCAAGATAGCAGAAGCAGCTTTATTCTGAAGCTTGCATAGCTTTGCACAAATAAAGCATTGGTGATATCTAGTATTTTAAAAGTTGCCGTATGAGTATTACATGTTTAATTAATAAAACAATTCAATTTAATGAAATATTTAGATAATCCCAGAAATGTTTCAGCAGAACTTCAGTCAGAGACATTCACTGTGAGAATTACTGCTAGTAAGTACCAGCTTATTCCAAACAATATTTGTGAACTAGGGAGCTACAATAGGGTTCTCATTTCCATTCTTATTCATGTCCCATAACCACACTTTCATGCAGGTGCAAATTTTATTCCTGAGAGATTGGAGTTAATTTGTGCAATATTGACAACTTGCAAGCTGCCCAGCACCAGAAACAACCTATCTTATTTATAGCTGAAAAGGAAAACAGCTGGAGGCCAACAGATGCACTAACTGTCACTGTTTACATTCTACTTCACTCCTTGGTTAGTTTTTAACCAGAGCCAAGCTGGTCTCATGTTAACTCCCCCGTTTTATATGCTCACCTGCTCTTCCCCTTCTACCAATCTATTTTTCCCAAGGGGTCCAATCCAGTTTTTGTTTTTTTTTAATTTTTATTGGAGTACAGTTGATTTAAAATGTTGTGTTAATTTCTGCTGTACAGCAAAGGGAATCAGTTATACATATACATGTATCCACTCATTTTTAGATTCTTTTCCCATATAGGTCATTACAGAGTACTGAGAAGAATTTCCTGTGCTATACAGTAAGCCCATACTAGTTATCTATTTTATATATAGTAGTGTGTATATATCATTCCCAGTCTCCCAATTTGTCTCTCTCCCCTTTTTCCCCCCAAGTTTGTTTTTTGATTGGGTTGTTCGTTTTTTTGATATTGAGCTGCATGAGCTGTTTGTATATTTTGGAGTTTAATCCCTTGTCAATTGCTTCATTTGCAAATATTTTCTCCCATTTTGTGGGTTGACTTTTCATTTTGTTTATGGTTTCTTTTGCTGTGCAAAAGATTTAAGTTTAATTAGGTCCCATTTGTTTATTTTTGTTTTTATTTTTATTACTGTAGGAGGTGGATTGAAAAGATCCTCCTGTGATTTATGTCAGAGAGTGTTCTGTCTATGTTTTCCTGCAAGAGTTTTATAGTATCCAACCTTACAGTTAGGCCTTTAATCTGTTTTGATTTGATTTTTTTGGTATGGTGTTAGGGAGTGTTCTAATTTCATTCTTTTACATGTGGCTGTCCAGCTTTCCTAGTACCATTTATTGAAGAGACTGTCTTTTCTCCATTGTATATTCTTGCTTCCTTTGTCATAGATTAGTTGATCATAAGTGTGTGCGTTTATCTCTGGACTTTCTATCCTGTTCCATTGATCTATATTTCTGTTTTTGGACAAATACCATACTGTCTTGATTACTGTAGCTTTGTAGTATGGTCTGAAGTCTGATTCTTCCAGCTGTGTTTTTCTTTCTCAATATAGCTTTGACTATTCAGGGTCTTTTGTGTTTCCATACAAATTGTAAAATTCTTTGTTCTAGTTCTGTGAAAAATGCCATTGGTAATTTGATAGGGATTGCATTGAATCTGTAGATTGCTTTGGGTAGTATAGTCGCTTTGATAATAACAATTCTTCCAGTCCAAGAACATGGTATATCTCTCCATCTGATCTGCTTGTGTCATCTTTGATTTCATTCATCATTATCTTATTGTTTTCTGAGTATCTCCTTAGGTGGGTTTATACCTAAGTATTTTATCATTTTGATGCAAGGATAAATAGGATTGTTTCCTTAATTTCTGTTTCTGATCTTTCATTGTTAGTGTATAGGAATGCAAGAGATTTCTGCATATTAATTTTATATCCTGCAACTTTACCAAATTCATTGATGAGTTCTAGTGGTCTTCTGGTGGTATGTTTAGGGTTTTCTATGTACAGTATCAGGTCATCTGCAAACAGTGACTTTACTGTTTTCTTTTACTTTTCTTTTTCTTTTCCAATTTGGATTCCTTTTCTTTTTCTTCTCTGGTTGCCATGGCTAAAACTTCCAAAACTATGTTGAATAATAGTGGTGAGAGTGGGCACCCTTGTATTGTTCCTGATCTTAGAGGAAATGCTTTCAGTTTTTCACCATTGAGAATGATGTTGGCTGTGGGTTTGTTGTATATAGCCTTTATTATGTTAGGTAAGCTCCCTCTCTGCCCACTTTCTGGGGAGATTTTATCATAAATGGGTGTTGAATTTTGTCAAAAGCTTTTGCTGCATCTATTGAGATGATCATATGGTTTTTATTCTTCAATTTGTTAATATGGTTTATCACATTGATTGATTTGCATGTACTGAAGAATGCTTATCTCCCTGGGATAAATCCCACTTGATCACAGTGTATGATCCTTTTAATGTGTTGTGGATTATGTTTGATAGTATTTTATTGAGGAATTTTGTGTCTATGTTAATCAGTGATATTGGCCTGCAACTTTCTTTTTTTGTGATATCTTTGTCTGGTTTTGGGATCAGGGTGATTGTGGCCTTGTAGAATGGGCTTGGGACTGTTCCTCTCTCTGCAATTTTTTAGAAGAGTTTGAGAAGGATAGGTGTTAACTCTTCTCTAAATCCTTGGTATAATTCACCTTTGAAGCCATCTGGTCCTGGACTTTTGTTGTTGGAAGATTTTTAATCACAGTTTCAATTTCATTATTTGTGATTTGTTCATATTTTCTATTCTTCCTGGTTCAGTCTTAGAAGGTTGTATCTTTCTAAGAATTTGTCCATTTCTTCCAGGTTGTCTATTTTATTGGCATAGAGTTGCTTATAGTAGTCTCTTATGATCCTTTGTATTTCTGCAGTGTCAGTTGTAACTTCTCCTTTTTCATTTTTAGTTTTCTTGATTTGAGCCCTTTCCCTTTTTTTCCTGATGAGCCTGGCTAAAGGTTTATCGATTTTGTTTATCTTCTCAAAGAACCAGCTTTTAGTTTCATTGATCTTTGCTATTGTTTTCTTCATTTCTATTTCATTTATTTCTGTTCTGATCTTTATGATTTCTTTCTTTCTACTGACTCTGAGTTTTGTTTGTTCTTCTTGCTCTAGTTGCTTTAGGTGTAAAGTTAGGATGTTTATTTGAGATTTTTCTGAGGCAAGATTCTAGTGGTATAACCTTCTATCTTAGAACTGCTTTTGCTGCATTACATAGGTTTTGGATTGCTGTGTCCCTAGGTTTTTTTTTTTCATCTTTGATTTCTTCAGTGATCCACTGGTTGTTTATTAACATATTATTTAGCTTCTATGTGTTTGGTTTTTTACATTTTTTTCCTGTAATTAATTTCTAATCTCATAGGGTTGTCAGAAAATATGCTTGATATTATTTCAATTTTCTTAAACTTACCAAGGCTTGATTTGAGACCCAAGATGTGATCTATCCATGAGAATGTTCCATGTGCAGTTGAGAAGAAAGTGTATTCTGCTGCTTTCTGATGGAGTGTTCTATAAATATCATAGTCTACCTGTTCTAATGTGTCATTTAAGGCTTTTGTTTCCTTACTGATTTTCTGTCTGGATGATCTGTTCATTGACGAAAGTGGTGTATTAAAGTTCCCCACTATTATTGTGTTTCTGTCAATTTCTCCTTTTATGGCTGTTAACATTTGCCTTTTATACAAAGGTGCTCCTATGTTGGGTGCATATATATTTACAAATGTTATATCTTCTTCTTGTATTGATCACTTGATCATTATGTATTGTCCTTCC